CGCATGTTTAGAAAGCCATGTAAAATTAAAATGTAAGTTCAACTTTTTAAAAACATGTCTCAAGACTTTATGGCGGTTTTCCCCATCCAACTGCTTCTCAAGTTTTTAAATGAAGAAAGTACTCTTTGTGATTGGTTTTCTGTCCTTTGTATTAAACTATACATGCATGATTCTGTTTTGTTTCTAATTGTTTAAGCAACTTTAATTATATAAGGTTTATAAACATCATTTTAAACATTATGCACTTTTTTCAAAGATAGTCATGTTATTTTATTATGCTTTGAAGAAATGTGCATAATATTTTGTTCGATGCACCCTCTTGTGGCCTCAGGGGAGAAGCCAAAAGCTTTTTTCCCCCCTAACTGAAATTATGACTTTTAAATTCGAATATAATTCGAATATTGATCATATTTAAGTACAAAATTCGAATTTAGTTTTTCAGTCATTTTGAAAGCCCTAGTGCCTACCTGCATTCTACGCAAAACACTCCTGGCTCCTTTCTCTCGCTTTAGCTGTGCTCTTTCACACTAGGCAGGGATTTGTAAGTCTGGGAGCGTGGGCATTCTTGTTCCTATAGCGTTTCAACGCAGCTCGAGTTCCTGAAGGGGAACGTCTCCAGGTTACGCATGTAACCCTAGTTCCCCGAGGGAACGAGACGCTGCGTTTCAGTGCCATGCTTCCGGCATCCCTGCGAGCGCTTGCTTCATTCCTCGAAGCTGACGCCGGTTCCACCGCACGAGTTTTTAAGAGGAATAAAACGTCACGATACTTGTGTCACCCCGCCCGTGACGTCTCGCCCATCCATTGGACTGATTACACACTTGATTCAGAGCGTAGTCACGCTGAAGGAGTTCCCATTGCGTTTCTTCGCAGCGTCTCGTTCCCTCTGGGAACTAGGGTTACATGTGTAACCTGGAGACGTTTCTCTACTTCAGCAGCACTTACATACACCAAACTTAGCAGTTTTATTCCTCTCTATATTCTGAAGGATTTTACTTAGGGTTTTGTTCATATATTATTCACATGAGTTTTAAATACATTTTATTCCTAAAACATGCTGAAAAAAAATATTATACTGTTGCCAGTATTTTCTGATTTATGGAGTGATAAAAGAGAAATCCAAAATCCACTCTGGAAAAACCGTTAACATCAACAAAATTAACCGGGCTTTATCCAGTGTTCAGATTTATGTTCTGGAAATTTTTGCAAATTAGTGCATCTTTAATAGGATTACATTTTAGAAAACTAATACAAAATGTTTTCAATTCATAATATAAACAATCAACGGGGGAAGTATGGTGATTATCTATTAGTTCATTTTTTACCCAGTTCACCTTGCCTTAACTCTTAACTGTCCGATACAACCACAAGAGTAAGTTGGAAGAGAGCTTGTCAAGTGAGGATGTCTTTGTCTATTATTATTATTATTATTATTATTATTATTATTATTATGTTGTAAGCAGTGTTCAAATATTGGATATTGAGTGATAGAATCTTGATTTAAATATGGTTCAGCCAAGATTAAACAAGGATTTGATTTTAATATCATTCTATAGAGTGTAACAGCAGTACAGTGCATTGATATCCTCTGCTGGTTAAAAAGAGCATTTTTCAATATTAATATTATTCAATTATATTATTACTATTGAGGAAATTTTAAATAAAGGCTCACTCTCATCTACAAAGATTTTTATTACATTTCACACCACTTTTTGTCATAATATCACTGTATGTAAAAGAGCAGGAATATGTGAATCTAGTCATTTGGTCTCATTTATTTTATTTTTATATTGTTTGTAATTTTGTTTCAAATTGTAATGCTATTTTAATGTTTTGCATAAAGTTTTACCTGCAAGAGAGAGGATTTGAAGCCAAAAATGGTCCATCATTTTGCCAGTGGTTTTGTCTCTGGAAAAACAAAGTAGTTTAAATAAGCTTAATTTGATCAGTTAAATTTATATATTTGTACAAGGAAAAGTGTGTATTTTCAGTTTTATGGACAGCTGTCATTAGAAAAGAAAATAATAACAGTATATTAATGATAAAAGATCCATAAAACTAAAAAAAAAATCAGCTGACACAGTGAATCAGTTGAAGTGGAAATTCAGCATAACTGTTCATAGTTTCTGAAATAGCCCTAAGAACAGACTGATGAAATGTTGGCCTACCTTCAGTGATAGTGAGTTTTCAGGATGTTTCTCAAGTTCCCAATCTTGTGCTCTTTTAATGGATTTGTTACGTTAAGAAGGGAATTTCACAGTCAGATATGCAAAGTGTGTTCATCATTATTTTTGCAGCTCCTCCTCCTGGTGTGTTTTGGTGGATCATCTGAGGACACTCATTATAATATGATTCCTTGCTATACTTGTAAAGTAAATGTTACACATTTAGACTGAATCTTTGAATGACAGCTGTCTTTTAGTGTAATATACAAGAATATCACAAAAAGTAATTGTGCCATCTGTGTATTTATTAATTAAATGTTCCTTGATTTAGTATCTGCAAATGAATGATCTCAGATTAATCTCAGTCTGATTGAAGATGTTCATTGCCCGATCATGCATAAATCTGCTTTAAAACATTAGACTGATGATAGCAGTCATGATTTGCTAAGTGGTTTAAGAGCCAGAGTGTATGTTTCACATCATTTTAACCTGATTAAATAATATAAACAGATTGATTTAAAGCGAGATGCTATCACTTTAATTGTTTTGGGTGGCTTTGTGGTGCATGAAATCTTATCTTAATCTATCTTTATTTTTCAGTTTAAATGTCCTTGTGGATCATGTAAATGAAGGACAATGTGATTCACGAGTCTATGCAAAACAAACCGTGTCACCTCAGAAAGATCGTACTTCATGTACAAACATTTACAGATGTTTTAATTCACTTTTCTTTTAAAATCGTCGTCTAAAATTAACTTTCCATGTATGCATTTGGCAGACACTTCTGTCCAAACCGACTTGTGTTGCTTTCATTCATTGATCAGTTCTTACATTTATATTGTGCACTGGATATCATGATTTGCTAAGTGGTTTAAGAGCCAGAGTGTATGTTTCACATCATTTTAACCTGATTAAATAATATAAACAGATTGATTTAAAGCGAGATGCTATCACTTTAATTGTTTTGGGTGGCTTTGTGGTGCATGAAATCTTATCTTAATCTATCTTTATTTTTCAGTTTAAATGTCCTTGTGGATCATGTAAATGAAGGACAATGTGATTCACGAGTCTATGCAAAACAAACCGTGTCACCTCAGAAAGATCGTACTTCATGTACAAACATTTACAGATGTTTTAATTCACTTTTCTTTTAAAATCGTCGTCTAAAATTAACTTTCCATGTATGCATTTGGCAGACACTTCTGTCCAAACCGACTTGTGTTGCTTTCATTCATTGATCAGTTCTTACATTTATATTGTGCACTGGATAATATCACATAAATGTTTGGTCAAAGCTATGTTTTTGAGGATGTGTTTGGATTCAAATCATTAGAAATGTGATTCTTTGTTAGTTTTCAGGACAGTGTAAATGTATTGTTTGTTTGTGATTAGTGGAGTATGTTTTCAGATCATGCAAAATGTAATGCCTTTTTTTGACTCTTCAGCAGGTATTTTCCTATGCAAATGCTAGTAGCCGTGTGCTTGGCCATTCTCCTGGAGATTTAGAGTACAGAAACAACAAAATAATAATAATAATGATAATAATAATAAGATATTTATAATTTAAAATTATAAACATAATATTATCAGTGGTGTAGTGTTGAAAAAAAGCCATGCAAGAATAACAGCCTCAGCAAAGCTGTATAATAAGTGGAATTAAATTAATTTATAAGAGACAAGTAATAGTGTAGTTGCTGCTTGACCAGAAATCTTGTGTGAAATATACAGAAAAGTCAGCTTGTTTTGTTTTTTGGTTGTATTCTGTATGGTATATGGTTAGGGCTGGCACGATTATGAAATTTGGGTGACGATTAATTGTCTAAAAATAGTCACGGTTATCATGATTAATTGTATGTTTTTTATGGCTTTTATTATATAATTGTGATTAATTTAAGGGTTCAGTAAATAATTATGATGTTATCTTTTAAGCTTTTTTGAGTTATTATTTTGCAGTGCAAGATTACATAGAGTACTCCAAATTCTAAGAATCGGCCAATACTGATCCAACACCAGCGCTATTTTATTTTTTTCTACACCACTACAGAATATCAATACTGTGTTTGTAGAGCTAATGGTCACTCTTTTTTAAACCCTTTGTTAAACATAATCCACTAAATACTCACTTCCTCATTACAGAGAAAAACTACATTTGAATAAAAATATATAAGCTATGAAATTAAACTAGCTGACTGTATAATTTAGCAGCAGAAAAAATCTTGAAAAAAAAATCTTTGGTGCACATTATACAATTTAAACATGTTTATTCTATAAACTATTTGTATTCTTACAAAATACATTCATGAAAATAAGATAGAAATCATGAGAAAAATAAAAGCTTCTAATAATCTTTCTGTTTGTGATAATTCCTTCCTTCCTTAAACTTAAAGCATTATAATGGGAATATATAATCTTAGGAGAGAGAGTTTTATGCTGACTGTCATAACTGAACGTGACGTGCTGTTTGAATGCTGAGCCTGTCTGTTGTTCTGTTGTCGGTGTTTCATTGTCTGAATATGGCACTTAACACATGCTGTGTGGTATCGGCGTTTGGTATCGGGACATTTTAACGAGTACGAGTACGAGTACAGGAGCTCAGTATCGGTGCATCCCTAGCTTCTGATGATAAAGCTATACAGTCCATGAAAACCAAACTGGTGCTCTTCTGTTTCTTTTGGTGTATGACTCCCCCTTGTCTCCTATAAAAAGCACAATAATCACGGTTGTCTGAAACAACCACGGTTAGATCAAATAATCGCGATTAGATGGTTATTTAATTATCGGGACATGCCTATATATGGTAGGGGTGGGCGATATGACCAAAATCTTATATCACAATACGAGTAATTTTATTTCACGATGACAATATCACAAGGTTTTTATAATATCAAAAATGTTGATGCTACAGTGTCAATTTCATAAAAAAACTAATACAAGCCTAAAAAAAAGAAAAAAAAAGAGAAATACTCAAGCTTATTGTAGACAAGTAAACAGTGATGAAATAAGAATAAGAAACTAATTACAACCAATAGGACAAAAAACTACAATAAAAAATAAATGCTACATGCATTGTATAAATTAATCAAAAAGACTGCATAGACGTCACTGTTTATGTAATGTCATCCTCCGACATTCTTCTTTACAAATCTTTGTACGACAGCTAGCGGAAGCTAGAGATTACAGTTTATAAAGTTTTAAATATGGATATTTTTCTTACAAAAATGCATTGATTCGCTTCAGGAGGCCTTTATTCACCCCCCGGAGCCGTGTGGGACACTTTTTATGATGGATGGATGCGCTTTATTGGACTTCTTTTGGACTATTGAAAAATAACACCCATTCACTGCCATCATAAAGCTTGGAAGAGCCAGGACATTTTTTCAGGGTTTCCGCGGGGTCTTAAAAAGTTTTAAATTTAGTTGTGTCAAATTTAAGGCCATAGAAAGTCTTAAATTGTACAAGAAAGTCTTAATTATGATTTCAAGAGGTCTTAAATTTGGGGACGCAAAGACCAGAATTGCGATATGGCTGAATGTGACGATTAAACTTCAAAAGGCTATGATTTCATTGAATAAACACAAGCACTGCACTACAAAATCCGTTGCTGGGCTGCTTTGTGTTCTTCCGTTACCGGTAAAAAAAAAGTTATATTCTACCAAACGCTTCACCTGCTGGCAGAGAGTGAATGAGCATTTTCAATAAAACTGTTGTTTTGTTCAGAGTTCAGACCATTGCGAAAATCGACCCATGTTTTTACCCTGCAAACACGCAGAGCTTTAAATGTGAACTGGTTGATCGATAAGAAGACAATGCATTATAAAAATCTAAACATAGGGGTGTGCGATATGTATGGTCTGCGATAATATCGTAATTGTTGTTTTAACGATGTGCGATTTGATATGAGTATATCGCGAAAAGCAAACACAAAATACACCTACAGAGTGCACACATACATTAGGTGATGAAGTCTATTAGGTTAGACTAGTGCGCGTGCGCATTTAGAGTACATTCTTTCACTGCATGAATCAGTCTATTAATGCATTTAGAATTATC